TATGATGCACATCTTGAATTACTAACTATAGATAAACCCGAGTTTCTTGTAGTTATTGGACTTCTTCTTGATTAATTAACTCTTATGTAGGTTAAGGATAATCCTTCTGGTGACTTTAGAAGCATGCATCGCCATATTTCTAAAGGGTCATGGACCTTTTCAGATCATGACCATGGATGGCAAGTTTCCGATTGTACTGCTCAAGGATTAAAGGTATTGTATAATTCTTCAAAAAGCACATAAACAAAGCAAGGAATAGTTGGCCTCTCACTCTCTACTTACTATMGGCAGTGTTKCCTTCTATTGTCAATGATGCCGCCAGAAATTGTTGGCAAGAAGATGGAGCTTGAGCAACTCAACAATGCTGTTAACGTAATACTTTCCATGCCGGTAAGCATAAACYRAAACACTGGAGAGAACAGTAAGAAAAGTTGTGTAAGAAGTAAAATATAGTTAAACAATAATCTAAATAATTATYTATTTGAACCTTGACAAGCTCTTTTTATTATTATTATTCAAATTGATGATGATATACATAGAGCAAAAATGGTGGGCTACCAGCATGGGAACCCGCAGGATCATCAAAATGGTTGGAGGTAACTAGGTCATGAAAATTGTTCTTTCTTTCAAAATGCAGTTTACCAGGTGCCCCTACTTATTAAATTTCTGTTCCATTTCAGATTCTCAATCCTACAGAAYTCTTTGTTAACATTGTTGTTGAGCATGAGTAAAACTCGACACATTTAACTAYTTCCATATCTTCTCCTTTTGACAATAACTTTACAATGCTAACGTTAAATGTGACTGACCAAAGTTGTTGATCAGGTACATTGAATGCACATCAACAGTAATACAGGCCTTGGCATTGTTTAAGAAGTCATACCCTGAACATAGGGTTAAAGAAATAGATAGTCTCCTCACCAATGCAGGTGAATACATTGAGAAAATGCAGATGTCAGATGGTTCATGGTTAGTTTCTCCATTCTTTATCATAATAACACCTTCTAAAACTGTCGGAATGACAACAATCTACTTATATTGCCAACATAATTATGAAACCACATGGATATTAGGTATGGAGACTGGGGTGTGTGTTTTACRTACGCTACCTGGTTTGCTCTTGGAGGACTGGAAGCAATCGGGAAAACATATGAAAMTTGTCAGGCAATCAATAAAGCTGTCAATTTTCTGCTAAAAACACAGCTAGAGGATGGTGGTTGGGGAGAAAGCTACCGATCTTGCACAGAAAAGGTGACACCTCAGCAAAAAGAAGTGCTCAAAATTGATATTAGAATAGAACAATTTCCATTTTTTGGTCTAGCAAATTGTAATAACTTTTGAGCAATGCTAACCAGTCTTGCATTGATTCTTCTCCTTGGTTACTTTATAAACAGAAATATGTGCCTCTAGAAGGAGGCCGGTCCAACTTGATACAAACTGCATGGGCTATGATGGGGTTGATACATACTCAACAGGTCAGTTTCTTATCTCGAAACTACATCGTAAACATTACTTATTTTTTTAAAAACGTATGTGATTGTACAGGCGGAAAGAGACCCTACACCTTTACACAGAGCAGCTAAGTTGTTGATCAACTCCCAGATGAAAAATGGCGATTTCCCCCAACAGGTAAGGCAGATAAGAAAGTAAGTTCAAATAAATCAAACTAAAATCGAAGAAGGCTAAACATATATATAATATATATATGTCTAAGCTAATTTTCAGGTTCATAAAAGAATATTAGGTTGCAGTTAAAGTTTATGCATTTGTCATAATTAAATGATAAGCGTCATTGGGTAGTATGAACGTGTCTGTTTAAGCTATGATGACTTTAATAAAGTCCCAATAAGCATGAAATATTAAAAGCATGATGATTTCAATTGAAGATGAAGTGCTAACAAAGTGATAAGTTTTGTGGTAGGTTCTGGGTTTACTAATCACAGTAAACTACTTGATTAATGCAGGAAACATCTGGAGCTTTCAAACAAAACTGTTTGTTGCACTACGCATTATACAGGGATATATTCCCAATGTGGGCTCTAGCTGCTTACCGTAAGCAGGTGCTCCCACAACCCACAACCATCTAGCACTACCATCACTGCAAATAGCTATTGTTGTCTATACTTGTATCCAAAAAATTTGGTGTTCAAATCTGTGCTAAAAACTTGTTATAATAAGCAAAAGAGAAAGCTATCATTCTCTTCAGTGTTTCATCATGCTCTATGCAACCACCGTTGCCTCCAAGGATGTTCATGAGAAGACAAGGATTTTAATAAAAAGTAGAGAAGASAAGATTGCCAGTGACACGAATGAAATGTAAAAACACCTAAACTTCATTCACCATTTCCTTAAGAATATACTGGATCACAACGAAACATGTATAAAAAATTATAGATTCAACAAACTTGAAGTCGWGAATAGACAATACTTTTGGTCTAAGTTGATGAAAAGATCTTGGTCCTCGAGGCCAAATTTCGTTCTGACACCCATTTTCGTTCTAGGGATGCAATAAAAGGTTTTTTCGAAGATGGCATGATTGTGTTGCATATAAGGGCACGACCATGCCAAAGGAATAAATACAAATTTCCAAGGATTTAGTACTCGGATCGAGTTGAGACTCTCTTGGGTTGTTATATAAATACAACTCTTGTGTAACGACCTCATATCACGTATTTTAACAGCATATTTAGCCCTATTGCCCTAAACAAAATCACAGATCCACAATGAATTTAAATCTAAATCACAATCAATAATCAAGTAAACACTAAARTACCATGAAATTGAACCCATGAACAAAGTCAAAAAAATCCCCATAAATGTAGCATTGATATAATTTATAGCATTTAATCAAATGGAGGGGCATTTTAACAAWTTTTCTTTTTAWCCCATGATTAAATAAATTTGTCTATTTGAATAAAAATATGTTGTTTACTTTCTCTCCTCGATCAACAATTTAAATGACTGCTTTACCCTTTAACATGAACTAAACGTTGTTTGATAAATTGTTATTAGTATTTTTGAGACACAGAAACTATTTGAACATCAAAACATGCCATCACTAAACTCAATATGCTCATCTTCTCCCAAGAATCCTATCATCACCACGTACCTCATTTTTTCTTTCTTTCTTTTCATCGTCCCTTTTTTCTTCCTTTCTTCTCCGGTTTCTTTTCTTCCTTCCCTTTTTTCTTGGAGTTTTTTGAGTTAAAAGCTCTGTGAACGAAGGATTCAGATCTGAGTTTAAAGCTCGGTGATTATTTTATTTGAAATCAATAACCGGTAGATAATGTTTTTATCTGAAATCAATAACCGATGGTATCGTTTTTATTTGAAATCAAAAGCTGGAGAACGATTGATTGTGGAGGATAAGGTGGAGAGAGATACCCTAGTTGTTTTTTTAATAAGGGTAGAAGATGTCATTTGTACGGTTGAATTTGGACAACATATCAATTCGGGTTATACGGATGAGCTAGCCAATTTTTCATTAAGATGCAAGTAACATCTCAAAATGTCTGTGCGAATGAGCTCATTCAGTCATTAAGTTCATTAAATCAAAAGTAAACAACCACTACAATAAAATTAGTTTATAGGACGACTAGAATGTCTAAACGTCCTAATAAAATACTTTATAGATTATAAGTTTTATAGAACAAAATATATGACGTTCTATCTAAAAGTATTACAATAGGTTTATAGAACGTTTTTGTATGTTTTAACAAGTTTTTTATAATGCTTTTAAAAAAAATGTCTTATTAGCTATTTTATAAGACATCCTTGAGACTGTCCTATAAACTCATCTTTCTATATGACATTTATGTTTATAGGATACTTTTTCAAATATTGTCGTATAAAATAGCTAATATGTAACATTTATAGATATGACGCTTTTTTATTTGATCGTATAAACTTGAGTCTTATAAACTATTTTATTAGAACGTTTAGACGTCCTATGAAATCAATTTTATTGTAGTGAGCCGCGTCATTATCAATTGATTATTAGTTAATTATATGAAGTTTAAATGGTTTTAAATTAAATAAATTTAGTTTTACTTATATATATATATATATAATATATATATATTAGAAATTAACTTATTTTCTTCAAAAAATTAAATGAATTTTGTTTATTAAAAGAACTTTCAGTTTTTTTTTTGGGAATATCGATTAATACCAAAATCGTAACGAGATAAATTGCTCAAGTTTGTTGGAATATTGAATAACAACACATAGTTGGTGAATAAAACATCAAATGTAGTAAAAAATAAACAATGTTTCAGCTTTTAGATTAATTTGTCAAAACTAATTTTTTGTTTCCCACATAAAAGACAAAATATTTTTGTTATGAAATTAATTGACAAGCCATCGGCTACTATGACGTAGATCATCGGCGGATTTATTCATACACCAGCAGAGGGTCTTGTATATATGCTTAACTGATTTTCGTAAGTAGAAAAAATTTTGAGCATGAAAGGTGCAATCGGTAAATTTCGGGCGGTACTCTGGGATGTTAGAAAATACAAGAAAMATCAAYAAAAAGAAAAACTAAAAAAACTTGTTGAAATCAAACAAAAAATTTATAAATATCTCTTAAAATCAATCAAAAAACTTAAAAGAAACCCCTCGAAATGATGGAATTCGGCTAAAAATACATCCGATGACATTACGAACCTTTGATCCACTTTAAAGATGCATCCACTCGGTAAAAGTTTCCAATACGCCACTAACATGGATAGGAGATTGAAATAGAAATTTTTTTAAGCACCGCCACCATTTAAAGGATGAAAGTTATATACGTTTTTGTGTATCACAATGTATTTTCTTTATTTTATGAAATGTATTATAGTTGCATTTTCGTTATTTTCATTGTTTTACAAAGGGTATTACATTATGCATCGTGTATGTATATCTGGGTATCACAATGAATATCGTTTGTAGGTATTACAATGTTAATCTTATATTCACATAAGGTTCGCTGGAGCGAGGAAAGAGGAGAGATGAGAGAGGATATTTATAAAATCCATAAAATGTCCTTAATTAATATTTTAAGTCAAAAGTACCAAAATTATTAATTTTTATGATTTAACCTTTGATTTATAGTTGAGATTGGATCTCATGATTACCATAAACAAAACAGTTCTCATTTAATTAGGTCCACAAATGTGTGTGTGTGTGCACGCACACTAAAAAGTGTCCTAATAGACTATAATATAGGACATTTTATGTTGTCACAAAATGTTTACATTTAGAAACAAATATGGGCGTCCCAAAAAATATTTTTATAGGACGAAATTCAATGTCCCAAAAAATGTTTTTATGAAACAAATTTTAGTGTCCTATAAAATGAACTAAGTAATACTAAAAA